TCTCTCTGTATTACTTACAAGTTTATATGTCTTTGAACCTCTGATTTTTTTGTGTCCACAATTAAGACAAAAATATTCCATATCCATATTGTTGATTTAAACAAAGCTTTCTTGCCATTCTTAAGTTTAAAACTTTACTTTTTTTTCATTGGTGTATATTAATTGTGTGAAGGATGAGATTTCACTAAGACATTCACCTACATGAACAGAACATACTTCAGTCATATTCAGCCCCCAAGTACCTTTGTAATGGTCATTTCCCCTTAAATTTCATGTAAGCAAAACCTAGCTAGATACTTATCTTTCTGAGTCTGGTGTAGCTCAGTTAACATAATGATATCCAACTCTGACTACTTTTCTCCAGATAACATAATTCTATTCTTTATGGCAGAGTAAAACTTCCACTGTATGTATATTTCACAACTTTGCCTATCCAGTCATGTGCTGATGCACACCTACATTGATTGTTTGACCTGACTATTAGGATCCCATGGTGGTCAATGTATCAGGGCATTCATGTAGTACCTGGCCTTGATTCTTCTGAACACCCAGAAATAGTGTAGACAAAATATAGGACACCTCTATCTTAAGAATATGATATGAGTTTATTTAGTGATAATGTCAACATTATATAGAACAGCTCCAACTGTTTTGGTACATGATTTACACATGAAATAAACTCTACACTATTTTTCCTTTCCTTTCTGTGAAACATACATCCCTCAATTAACCAATTTACTTTAATGAATCTTTGCCTCTTGTTTCTCTATTTGGTAATAAAATTTGGAAAATATGGCATAAAATTTTTAAGAAATAACCTACATTTCTATTTATCCATTTTTAAATAGCTAGTAAATGTTTTAAAAAAAAGCAAAACCCTAAATTTTTTATGTATACAGATGTGTGTCACAGATTTTTACAGAAATCATGGAATCACAGTTGCAAGTTACATGGGATCCTCAATATCAGTAGTAGAATATATGGGCTTGTATGGTAAATGTTTAAATCAAGGTCCACTCTACAGATCAAGTTTCTAGTTCTGGGCATCTCTTAGCACTCTGACATGCCCCTTCACTGACCTTGAGACCAGGTTTTTCCTTTGATTCCATTCTTTTCCATATTCTCTCCCCAGAGTTCATGGGGTCATTCTTTCTCTCCCCACACCCCAACCTCCACCTCAGTGAGCAGCTCTCCCCTAGTCTTGGCTTTATCCTGATGAATTCCTATGTGTTGTCTAACAAAGCTTACCTATTATTTTTATTTGTTCCCCCACAAATCCTCACCTACACATTTCCTCCTACATGACATAATCCTGACAAGATAAATCTTCAAAGGCACCCTTTATTTATTTATTTTTTTTACTTTTATTTTGTACGTTTGAGTGTATGTCTGTGCACTTTGTGCATTCCTGGTTCCTGGGGAAGATAGAGAGGTATCAGTCCTCTGAGAACTGGAATTGCAGACTGTGTGAGCCACTGCAGGGAGCTGAGAACTGAACCTCAGTCCTCTGCAAGAGCAGCAAATACTCTTAAGTCACCTCTCCAGAACCCCAAGGACGCTCTTTTAATTTCATCTTTCTGATGCTAGAAGGCCCAATGCAAGTTAGGTATCCATTATCTAAAGTGTTTAATGTCAGAAATATTTTGGAGTTTAGAATGTTTCTTTTTTCAGATTTTACAATAGTTTCATACACACACACACACACACACACACACAGAGAGAGAGAGAGAGAGAGAGAAAGAGAGAGAGAGAGAGAGAGAGAGAGTGAAATATGCTAAAAATGGAACCCAAGTCTTAACATGCAATTTATGTATGTGTCATCTGTATATTTGTTGTATATACTTTCCTAGGGAGATTCAGTCAATGTCTACTTAACCCACAGAGGGAAAAGTAACAGACCAAAACAGCAACTTCACTACAAATAAATTCAGTGAACAAATGAACTTACTGAGATTACTTACAGGACTATGGGTGAAGGGCTACTTACAAGAACATGGATGACTCAAAAGCAGGTACATCACTGAGAAGCCCACTCCAGCATTGGGGACAGCTTACAAAAGCCATGGTCCTGGAGCTCTCTGAATAACATGTAGGCAGCTTGACAAAGTTTCCTTCAGGCTACTCAGCTGATAGAGGGAGGGGTTCCTCCCCCAGAAATTCTTCAGTGCTTCCACAATTTAGGGGAGGAGACTTGTGAGTCTTATTTGTTTCAGGAACTTCCTGAGACCAGTGAAGTATTTACTTCCTGAGCCTAGGAAAAAATAGAAAATTGTTAAGCAACCATTATATAGAATTTTATACAATAATTTTAATGTGCTTGAATTTTTGCTATAAACATTATGGAAGTCAGATGCAGAGTTTCCACTTTTAACATTATGTTAAAAGTTTTGGATTTGTGAGCATTGGAGTTCATATTTTTGGATTAAGGATAATCAGCCCATAATAGGTTCTTATTGTCTATTGTATTTAATAAGGTCTGCTTTGCATTTAAGAACTTCTAATAATCCAGCCAATCAAACTTCCCCATAATTCCCAATTTGGACTTGTTTTGTTCACAGGCCAAGTCCTCTTCTCATGTTGTTGCTTCTACACAACCCGTCTCAGGCTACGTCTTGTAAGACCGTCTAAGCATCAGAAATGAAGTGATCTGTCTGGGGTTGCAACTGAGCCAGTGTTTGGTCCAGGTGAATTGAGGCTGGTCAATAACCACCTCATGATCTTTCACTCAGGGAGATTTTTCTGGGCATTTACTTCTCTCTCTTCCTTTTCTTATTTCTCTTTTTCCTTTCTTTCTTTCTTTCTTTCTTTCTTTCTTTCTTTCTTTCTTTCTTTCTTTCTTTCTTCCTTTCTTTCTTTCTTTCTTTATTTGTTGTTGTTGTTGAAGAGAGTCTCTTACTATATAGCTCTGGCTGTCCTGATATTGACTATGTAGACCAGACTGGCCCCAAATTCATAGATCTACCTGTCTCTATCTCCCAAGTGGTTAGATTAAAGGCATGCACCACCCATGCTCAGTTTAGACATTTATTTTAAACATCAATTTTTATGGTATATGTTACAAACAGGCAGTGGAGACTTCAAGCAAGTGAGAGAGAGAGAGAGAGAGAGAGAGAGAGAGAGAGAGAGAGAGAGAGAGAGAGAGAGAGCAAGGCAGAGAGGGGTGCAGAGGGTATACCCTTTGCTACGACCCAATTGAGAATTAGATAGGGTAGGCACTATAACAGAGTTGAGCTTAGCATCATGGAATGTTGTAAATGTTTTACAGCCAGCTGTCAAGAACCCAAAAGTCCTGATTTTAGCATTGCAGATTTCCATGGAGTGAAAGCTCTCATTGTCAAACAGGCTGCCAGTGGAAAACCATTGGGAAAACAGCATGGCTAAGATGGGGAGAAGTCTACTCCAGCACAGCCTCTATGTACAAGGTAATGACAAGTGTATAGAGAATTTCCTTCAATTAACTTGCAGACTTGTAACTGCTTAGGTTATTCAGTTTGCTGAAGGGGCAATTAGCAAGTCTCTTCCTGAAAAGGGCTGAATTGTATTTATCAAAACAAGACAATGAAACAGTATTCCAGGAAGACTGAGTGGTAGTCTACAGTCTGTAGAAGCAAGCAACTAGTGTTGCAGAATACACAAAACATTTCCTGGCCTTCTTTCCTGATGATGAAATGATACCAGTTTTATAAATTACATTCATTCAAGGTTGAATTCCTATGCAGATTTTTAACATTTACTAAGACCTCCTACCACTATTCAAGACATTTTTAAAACGGTGGCTGTAGCTGTTTCAGTGGGTAACATGAGAACCTGAGTTCTGATCTCCAGCTTCCACATAACATCAGGTGTGTTGACACACAGCTGTAATAACAGAACTAGGGAGGCAGAGACAGGTGGCTCCCTGGCCGGCAGGTCTGGCCAAAAACAGTGTCGCACAATGTCAGCCTCTGGTCTCCACAGGTGTGTTCATAAGCAAGCACATGTATACTCACTCACACACACAGAATAAAAATAATCCTAATATTCAAGAAGACCCCTTCGTCCCTGTTTTTTCTGTTAGCCTTTTCTTCGGGGTTAGCCTTTTCTTCTGATGGGGGCCTTCAAAGATCTTTTCAAGAAACATTCTGATTTTCCTAACAACACCCATTTCCACACGACCAATTACAAACAGAAAAAGGAGCTGGGCGAGGGTGAGGGCAGGAGAGAGAGAGAGAGGAAGGGAGAGCCAAAACAGAGAAGGTGGTGGAGCATGTAACAAGACAAAGCTGCCTTCCCTTTGGGTGAGCGGAAAGAACAGCCCAGCTTTGAGAGTTTCAGGAAAGTTAAGGTTAGAAAACATGTAAGAATTTGATGGCTATGGGGCAGGCAAAAAGAATACAAACTGACCCAGCTAAAGGTTACAAGCCTAAATTCATATTAAAGCAATCTACTCAAAATAATTTTGGACAACTTTGATTTATTTAAATGAATAAAAACAAAATGTTAATTTATGGACATAATTCGGTCTGCTAATTAGTCATGCAGTGCGGTGTCGCCCTTCGACAGTTTATTTCCATCAGCAGAATTAATCACAGCAGAGCAGATGTAGTGGGGACAATCCAAGGTTAAAACAAATGATACAAAATAATGAACTAGAGCCCAGGATGATAACCTGGAGAAAGTCATGATTTAGTATTCTGCAGAGTCCTCTGGGATTGTACAGCCACTTTAAGTGAGCCTCTCTCCATTTCAACCAGATATCTCTGATTATAGTGATCTTTTACTTTGCATTAATTTTATCTGCCTTTGAAGGTAATGTAACTGTGATAAGAGCCAATTAGTTTTGCACCATCAAGAAACACAATGAAAGAAAACAAAGATAAAATTAACTGTCTAAATGAGACTACAAGGCAATCTCATCTTTGTGATTCTCTTGCAAGCCAGAGCACCATACGTTCAGCATCATAAACTGAAGGACGACTATAAGGATATGTGAGCTGGTTCAGATCCATGCTGTAATGAACACAGTTCTTCTCGAGTAACATTAGCCAGTAATTCAATGCTAACTTTCCACAGAACTTGAGAGCTGTATCTATGACTTACATTACAGACAGATACAGAAGCCACATACTGCACGGGAAAACAATTTGTTTCTTAACTTTTCTAATCTAGGAATTTGATTGTGGGGGAAACGAGCAGGAGAGTCTTCAGATGGACATCGTCTGATGTTTTCTGCCATCATCATTTCCCTGAGTGTTAGTAAATGCAGCAAGCTTCCCATGTTTCAGTGACAGTAGTACTACCAAAAGAAAACCATGTGGCAAGGCTAAACTTTTGCAGCACTTGGTTTTAGCTTGACCTCTGGTAAGACTTGGGTGCAAACAGTGAATCAGCAATCTAGGTGTGAGACCATGGCACACTACAACAGTCTAGGTGTGAGACCATGGCACACCACAACAGTCTAGGTGTGAGACCATGGCACACCACAACAGTCTAGGTGTGAGACCATGGCACAC